TCCCATGTATGTCTGTGCAAGCCAGTGATCTGAATCCTGAATGGTGGAAATGTTTGTTGTTCACACAATTAACAATGTAAATAGCATGCCATCTGTCAAGACAGTTGAGTATTAAACACAAACTTGAATAATTGATCTCAGGTGAGAGAACTGACATGACAAGCTATCTATTGTTTCATTACCATGGCAACACAATAACAAGCATGGGTGAGGAAATAACTAAGGAAATATTAGCCCATCCTAAGATACACGCTAAGTCGCAGCAACTGAGGACCACCTGATTTAATTTTAAGCATTATGCTGGATCTTTTTATCTTTTGTACAAATGTATGTCATATCTAAGCAATGGCAGTTGTTAGGGTATGCTATTTAACCCTTATCCTACCAGCCCAATGTACTTTTACATTGACTTGACCAGGTACAGTAAGGGTTAAACAAAACTATGGTGTTATTATTTCTATCATTAGAAAATTAAAATGCAAGTTGGCTATCATGCATATTAACAATGAAATACAAGCACACAGCACTATGCTATGTTTCAGCCATTTTGATATATATTTCATATTTCACAACAGGGAGCAAGGTGCATCATGGGAGTTCCACTGTGCATGTATGGTTTGAAGCACATGAACATGCACTCGCTGAATAGAATCTGCCAGGGTATAGTGGGGGACTTGACACTTTGACTAGTGAAGATAAATTTTAGACAGCAGTCATACATGTATAAACTAGAACTATTACAGCATTGACTTCCTCTTTTGGGTAATAAAGAGTCTATTTTTATCCTGAAATTATTAGTTGTGGCTAATCAAGTGACTAAATTGCTGTGTTTTCCGTAACACTGGTAAACTTTTAAAAAATCCCATTTGAAAACAAATTATAGTACAGCATGTAAGCTACACTGTGAAACACAGTCTGTCACGTTTGCAGAATTTAGCTTCACGCTTGATTTAAAAGATATAATTTAGTGCTAAATGGGAAGTTTTTTAAGAGAATAGGTTTGGGGAAGCCCAGCTGTGACTCTTCAAGGAATTGTGTTCCATAGTGCCTAATACACAGAATGGCTAACATAATGCATGCCTGCTTTTTATTCAAAGTGCATGTCTGTGCTATATATGGCAGGCCCATGAAGGCCATTTGCCAAGATGCCCTACCTGAATATTCCAAAATATTTCTGTCACAATTTTCATCTTCAGAAGTTTATGCCTTCAAAACTGCAAGCCCTGTATATAATGTGTGTAAACATGTATGAAAAGTTCCCTAACATGTACATACAAAACTATGTGGGAAATCCCCAGTTGTTTTAGATTGCGCAATACATTCAACTCAATCACGTAGACGATTCATGCATGGTTAATTTTCTCATGGAGATTTATAGAGAGCTATAGTCACAGTTACTATATGTTGTAACCTTTCAACCAATAATCCCAAACAAAACAGATAAACCTGAGGGGGCGGAATTGTTTTTTGAATGGAGATTGTGCAATATTTATAATTCCCATTCTATATAGGGAACACCACACATACATGTATCATATAAGCAAGCATTATTTGTTAAAAGTCAGTTGTGATGTTTGCTACCTTACTGAGATCAATTACATGTATGTACAACATAAACTGTTCAGTAATGAAATATTGTCAAATATCTGCAGCATACAGTGTGATGATATCAAATGCTACTATCTGTTAACAGCTTTAAAATGTATTGGATTATTAATTTCGCTGATTAATGAAAACACTATATCGACTTTATTAGTAAATGGTCACCAAAATATTATTAAGAGCGAGTGACCAACAAGACATTTTTTTTCTTCCCTCAAATACTGTTCCATTATCTACAGTCTGACATCGTGTCTACTCATTTATTTGAAACAGTGGTCAGTGGACATGATGACAGGACAGAATGGAATACTATTTTGTTGCATAGCTCTCTCAGCAAGATCTCAATGGCTATTTTAGGTCCACTAAAACTTAGTATAATTTAAGATAGTTTGCTACCATTAAAAAAAATATACTCAGAAGGGCTATGTATGGCTGTCACAAAAATTGAGGAATTTCCTTTTTTGATTATTTTGCATGTTTTCTTGAAAAAAACATCCTTCTTTCTCCATGAAAACCTTAAATATGAATGACTTGCATGTATGTAGTCATTACACAATAATTTTTAATGATTTACTGTGATCAATTTTTTCTAAGTTTTTATGGTAGCGGACTACTTTAAAGACCTATGTATAGGCATAAAATAGTTTCCAATGATTTGAGTTACACGCAAGTTATGTTGTTTTTTTGTTTTCCACCTATTTATCCCATTTAAATTTTTATGGAAATGAATTGATCCTATAGAATTTATTGGTTCAATGACACAATAGATTTAAAAACACAACATACTAGTATATGCTCGAATAATAAACACAAGATTTTTCTCAAGTAAATATATATATATCTTTACAGTATTGGAAAAGAGCATTGAGTTACAACTGTGATTGGCAAAAATAAAACGGGTCCACAAATATAAAACAGTGACTAAAATGTGCTGGTTATACAGGTCAGAAGAGAGGAAGCATGTTAATGTGCTAAAGACTATTAACAAAAGCTCACATGGCCCTCAAGGCAGATGAAAGTACGAGTGAATGAAAGTAGACACAAGTTACATGTGCATGTACCCATCAGCTTGTCAGTGAAATCAATACCATTCCACACACCACAATGGATTCAATGGAAAACAAAGCTAAGAAGATTACAATTATATGAACATCTGTTTAGCATATAGAATATCTGAAAGTTGGAATAATTAAATTTTTTATGATGTATAATTTGAATATGTAAATTGAAAGGTTAAATATTGTAATTGAACCACTTATTTTCATTTTCGAGAGTCTTGAAAAAAAACATAAAATTATGTACCTCAGAAAAAATTCCATGGGACATTGTAGGATAATGAGCTACAGTGAAATTTCTGAAGCTGCACTATCACAATTGCTGCGTTTTTCCCCAATTTATTTTTTTCATATTTTTTGAGCTATGTAACTAAAGTCAAGAAAAAAAAAGTATTTGTTCAATTCAAAAATTGTAAAGATGTTTTTGTAAAATTGATTTTTTTTTTAAATTTTCTAAAATTATGACCAAATTTTTTTATTTTTTTTGTGGCCTACAACTGAGTGATTAGTGATACCGAATAAACAAACACATACTAATAGGTCATGTAACATGGTACACATTTATGATAATAAAATTAAAATATGTAGAAAGAGAATTCTGGTGTTTACATGTGATACCATGATACATCTTACAACTTCACCACATTTTTGTTGATTTGGTACGACAAAAAATCAACAACAAAAAAACATTCCTTATTAAGTGAAAATGTATTTTTACAGTTATTAGAACCAGCAACTTTCCTTTGTCATGATTTTAGGAAACACAAAGGCCTAACTTTAAAAAAAATCTAATTTGCATAAAAACTATGCATAAATAATTAACTGAAACCAGTATCTTTACCCAGAACATGACATCCATATACACACTATAAATGTCTGAGGGTCATGATGGAAGGTCATAGCAGGGTCATGATCTGGACAAAAATAACACAAGAATGAGAAAACAAAATAAACATTAACCCTGATTAGAATCAACCTCACTAGCAGAAATTTAGCATCACTCAACCTTTCTTTTATGCTGGTGACCGTTCACTAGAAAGTAAACAGTGTACTTTAATACCATGCAGGTTTCCATCACAAACAAGTTTTTTTTGTTTTTTTTAACATGAGACCAACAATGACTCCAATTCACATCCTGCCAGGAAGGGAAGTCCTCACACACCAGGGAAGTCTGATAAGAAAAGATCAATATACTCATAAATTTAAAGGTAACTGACCAGTGGCCTTCAGATGGGTTGTCATAATATTCAAACTTTATATAAAGGGCAATGTACACATTCAGTGGCAGGTTAAAAGAACATAACAGGAAGAGGGAATTCATGAGGACATTTCACAACAAATCTAAAATATATATCATCTCTTTAACAATATTCAAAATTAGAAAGAAGGTGAACGATAAAGAGCTAGTTCAACTTGAGCTCAGTACTACAATAAACATGTTAGTTCAATATATTCAATATATGTATGTGCTTTATAAAAAAAATAAAAATAAAAGGATAATAGTAAAAAGGTATTATTTCCGTAGGAGTAACAAAATTCATCTATATACTAGTGATAAGAAAAAAAACTGATACATATTCCTTTTCCCTCCATCTATACCCCCCTCTCTTTCTCCCCTCTCCCCAAGCCACATGTTCATTTGACCCTGACAGTAACGGGAAGAGGCCAGGTGTCTGGTTTGTTTCCAAATACTTGCCGGTGTACAAACAAAGGAACAATGTACTTTGTTTCCAGCCATTAAACATGGCTAAAACTGTTAACCTTGACGGTAGGTTTATTCGCCAATCAATAGGGTATTTAAATGGAAATTTGTTCCGCCGATTTTTAATTTAGCTCCTTTTTCAAATGAATGTCCCCGCTATTTTGTGCTGTCATTATAACCCTTGGTCTCTCGCGAGGATTCGCTACAGCCTTTTTTTACTTGTCGAGTTCGGCACACTACACTTGATTACTGCTCTGTTGTCCTCTACGCCGGCTGCAAGAGCCTATTGTTGTTCAACACTGGTTTCCAATACGATATTGTCGGTCGTTCGCTCCGTCAATGATCGATAAGCACGGCACGTATTATTATCACATGCACCCGACTTTTGAGCGAGCCCATCGATCGTCACCACTCAGGTGCAGCCTAACACGGAAACAGCAAAATGAAAATAATAAAGTACCAAGAGAGCACGAAACTGTGAATGAAACACGTATTCACATAACCTCACAATATCAAAACAAACGAACAAAAAGCTATGAGTGAAAAAAATCGAGCTCACATCATACTGTAGTCTGCCATTCAGGACACATTGTAGACTGCACCGCACGTCACAACATAACACAACACTACAATTCACTCACCAGCGTTACAAATACGGCTACATCGGTCACTGTTTCACTTCAACTTCGGCTTGGCTTAGTAATTCGTATTACATCTACTCAAATTCGTGGACCGAAGAGTGAAACGCTTGTTATTCAGGGTGAAATAGTATCAATCACGTTCAGACAGACAGCCATCGATGAATATTTTGCGCGGAGATTGTTGTATTTATTTTTCGGTCCACGGAAATCATGACGTCATGGTCACGTGCCTGGGGAATACCACTGTAGAGAAATGGAAGGGAAATTCTGTCATTTTAGTGTGACTACATCAATTGAAATCCCGAGATTATTTGCTTCACGAAACAGCGACATTCAAAATAAAGATAACATGTTGAATAGTAAGTTGGTCATTGAAGCATCATAACGAGTGATCATCCCTCCGAATCTGAGCGCATGCACGGCAAATATGGAAGCTTCCGTGACCCAATTTAAAATGGCCTCTTGGGTCAAACTGAAATGCGTCTAATGATATTAAACACGTAGGCGCGCAGGTCACAGCACATAAACAATAGTTCAAAGCCACAAACCCGCGGTTCGAATAACCTAGTACTTTATTATTCATAGAAAGGCATACAAATGCGCATATATTGACGACTGGGGCGCATCGTTTTAGTTTATTATAATCAGCGTAACATCAAAACAACGCATGTAGGTCATTGCGCATTCTGTTTATTTACATAAAACTAGGTAAATACCCTATCAACGAGTTGACTACCCTTGTAAATATCAGTATTTACATTGGCGAACTATTTTTGTCCATTTTCCTAGCTGTAAATTTGTCATTTATGACGCATTTGAAATTCGACGAGAACCCACTTTAACCTAATTTAGTGACCTCGAGCGCTTGGCCCATTTGGATCATATCTGATACAAATATAATTGTTGTGTTGTTTAATATGCCCCGTTACCGATGACCGACGAATCAGCCCATGGTGGACCACAGTGCCTCTATGATATAAGGACTACAGACGATTCGTTCAATCACGTCAGTGTGTAGATGTAGATTTGTAAAAATGAACAATGGCAAACAATCCCTAAATGCATTTTTTTGAACCAGCCATATCCACTTCGCTATTCATAAGTCCGAACAATAAACAAAGCAATGCATATCCATAAATGTCACGTGATCAATCAATACTATAAAACTTACACAGCTATGACTGACGTTTCAAAGATACATTATGTAAGAGAACAGGGCATTTTTAATAATGTTGTTTGGTTTATGCATTGGATTGTAATTTTTTCGTTGCACAATGAACAACTGTTCAATGAAACTCCAATGCGCATGCGCGCTGAACGTTTTTTGTACATAGCGACAATCCTTGGATACTTGTATGCTGTCAACATAATATAATATTATTATTATTATTTTTCAATACAATATATAATATTATTGTGAGTGTGTAAATGGCGAAAGCCAGTTTACTGTATGTTTGTTTCGTGGTGAGCTAATTATACATTCGCATAATTAATTTTATTGAAAACGCACCAAAACAAACAGGAGATATTAAGCAAAACTACAATCGCCCGCACACACGTATGTGTTGGTATTCAACATGCCATATTCTGCAATGTTTACAAATATACATATGTGTTACAAACATGTTTTCTGTTATGACTTTGAAATTTCTAAAACAAATGAATTTTTTTTTGATATGCATATATGCAATTTTTTCACTTGAAATATACTAATACTAAAGATAAAATAATTACGTGTTTCAGAATATAGTATGTGTAATCGTTTTCATCACCAATCATTAAAAAAATAATAATTTCTGAATTGTTGAATAAATTACTGATTGTGTCATTGTAACGCGTTTTCAGCCTAGAAATGTTATTACATATCTGGGATTCGTTATATTGGCTAATATCTAATGGGAATCGGGTGCGAAAACTTCAGATGAAAACGATTATGGCGGTGCTAACTTAAAGTATTAGACCATGCTTTCCAGACACCGTATCTCATAAAATATACTGCTTTCCCCTATAGGGCTTCCACGTGTTGACTTGTTTATATCGCAGTCGTTCTATCGGGCGATCAAGTTAATCAATAACTATAGACTAAACATGGTGAGTTGGTCAAAAATAAACAAACAACCACCACCACCACCACCACATCAACAACAACAACAACCCTAGAAAACAAACATAACGTGTCAATATTCACTCAACTCTTCAGCCTGAGACATATCTCCGAAGGAGTACATTAACGATAGGATAAAAAGTACTTCAATTGCGGTATTATATATTGCAGTTGGAATGTCATGAAAACTGAAATTCGGGGGGTCGACAGACAATCAAACAAGATGTTACTAGTATTCAGAAAGTGAAGAAAAGCTACGACTCAAATAATATGTTTATCTACGTATTAGTATCAGTACACCTGCGATAGGGTCAGAAAGGGTTGTTAACCGTGGGTAGTGGTGGGCTTGTTCAATTCTATGTCGTTGGGAAGTAGATAACCTTCCCACATGATTTATAGTTTGTACAAACTTATATAGAGAAAAAATGACTATTAAAACTTGAATTACTGCCATTCGGGCACGGCTTAATACAAACGGACATATGCTCACATGAACGCACCACCGTGAACGACAGTCACTCGCCGTGTAATCGTCAGCAATGTGTTGTTCGGCAACAGAATGGAATAAAATAGCAATATATACCGGTAGTATGTTTTGTCGGGATTAAGGGGGGATAGAAACTAGAGAAAACAAAAGCCCATTAACAACAACGAAAGGATCAAGGACATTTCCGATGACCTCAGTGTACCTCCATGAGGGAGCTAAGCGTTGAAAGCGCTGCAGTCATTCTGTAGCGTGTTTACATATTGTGTATAACCCTGAAACGATGTATTTACATGCGTTGTACGCGGGGCGTTGTACGCGGGGCGTTGTACGCGGGGCGTTGCGGAAAAAAAATGTTTACCGCATAACAGAATATATTGCATGATTGCCAGACTAATGGATAAAGATTATACAAACTAAAGACAAGTTATACGGCATTGTCCGATATCGAGAAATGCTGACACCATAGTAGGTGGACACTGAAGCGGGATGTCACAATGTACATGTAGATTGGGAAGTAACGTACGCCATCCGGTATAACATGATATAAACAACAACGTGACCCAATAGTAGGTCGGCGACCTAATCAATTACAAAGTAGTTCACCATACTATAAAATAAAACAAATTGACTGGAAATAGGATTCAATATCTAATTTCTATTTTTTTAGTAACCTTAAATTGTTCACACGCGTAGTCTAATAATAGTGACCAGATTCCATAACTCTGCCACTGCTTACGTCAGTATATGACCCGCCTATAATTAACTTCCACGCTTCTACATTTTTGTATACTACGTTCTAAATGGCGTAACTTGTCTTTTTCAAATATTTTTCGAGTATTTTGAAGATTTAAACCCTGTGCAGGTTAGCATTGAACTTGATTTCGCGAGCATTATGCGATTGTAGGACCGAGCTCTGATTCAAATACAAATTATCAAGTTGTGAGCGTGGGAGTACCAAAACATGTAGTTCGCTCAGTCGCATGCCACGGTGATTTCAACCCAGAAACAAATCGCCACTCTATCACATCTGCGTAAGACAATGAGCTCGTGGATCCGATTATTAAATACTGTAAGTTAATAACACAATATGATGACATTTCTCATATACATAATCATGTTTATTAAACACGCGCCTCGGGGGCAGCAATAGTTACACAAAATGACAGAACAAAACACAAACAACGAGAAAACTCAAAACGAGAGAACTAGAAAACGGGAAAAGACCATTCTGAACAAGAATAAGTATTTGGGGTTAATTTAAGTCATGATGACGGATGTCGAGACTATTTTTAATGTACTGCGCTGCACGGACACACATTCGTTCTATACTAGGTTGCATGATGAATAGTTCCTCTAGTGGTTTGCTTTCAAACTGTTGAATCACGTTCTCAGCCAAGGCGAGCAGATCCGATGAGCGTCGGGTTTATGACATTTCTATAGAAAATGAAATTCATCATTACAACTTTCAAATTGATAGCACACATATTCATAGTGTATTTTTCATTGCTGAAAACCTCAACTACATGTACATACTTAAAGATCAACATCCGCCAATCAGTGTAATCATCCTTTCCAGAACTCTGAAGGAAACGAGTTATGACAACTATACCCTTTTCTTAATGTTCTGAAGAATTACCGACGGAATAATAACAGTTTCCCGCGCACAATGGCATTGTAGGGACATTTTATCGTACAATGTCCTATTATATTCTGCAGACAAAATAACGTGCTGACCTCTTGAACCTTGTCCTTTCAATGACATGAACGTGTGTGTCTTTAATATAATAGTACTATCTAGGGACCCGTATATATCACACACACATAAGGCAGAAAAGATCGCTAAACTTCCGTCGCTATATGACCTGTCACGTACATATCGCATAATAACACCTTGGCTACTTTGAATTATTGCTTGTGATAAACAATTATGTTTTGTATTCGGTGTGTACATGCAAGTATATCTAAAGTACCACCTGACGTCAAGCGATCTTGGCAAAGTGCCAAAATTTAAGGTTGTGAAATATAAAAGAGGACATTTATAGTATTTTCTAGACAGTTGTGATTGTTAAATGTTATCTCTTTTAAAACCTCGCATGTGAATCTCCGGTCTCAACGACCGAGCGACTGTTGAACGTACGAGTATCTAGCTTAAAGGTCACGGACCGGCTATGATGTTCACAGTCAGTGTAGCTTGTATTACATGTATTATTCTTTAATTCAGATACGATCAACAAACAAACCCACTCTCTTCGTGTGTTTTTTTTTAATGTTTACAAATTTTCATCATGAACCAACCAGTGTCTTTTAATGTGTGGAGAGAAATCTCTCGTTTCAGTTTGAATTATGAAATTTACAACTATTACACAAAGGAGTGAACAGATTTGTGTGTCCGATGATGGTAAGAAATAAGTTTAAAAAAACGCATGACTAAATAAGACAGAATTGTGTGGTTTGAAGAGGGAGCCCATTGTCACAGTCAGTTGTCGCGCACTTCATCGACAAGAATTCAATTTTCATGCGCAAATTTCACAATCACGTCTCAGTATTTTTTTTAAAATACCGATGCCGCTTGATAATGTGGTTATCAATGCTTCAACGTTCCATCG